AGCTTACCTAGGGTCCACCTGTGGTGAAATCAGCTGATTGGACACGGTTTGGAATGGCACACACCTGTCTATAGAAGGTCCCACAGGTGACAGGGATGTCTGTAGACCTTCGACACATGCCGGGAGTCACGTTTAGAGGTAACCAGGCAGCACACGCCTCGGGGACAAAACCATTCCTACAGCGAAGCACGGTGGTGGCAGCATCATGGGGAGGGGGTGGTTCCATCAGCAGCAGGAACCAGGAGCCGAGTCCGGACCGAGGGAACGACAAATGCAGCTACAATCTGAAATTTAACAAAGCTTTTCACATAATTATTATGGGATGTTGTGTTAGAATTCAGTGGATAAAATGACTTTAGTCCGTTTTGGGAAATGTGCTGACACAGCGTTTGTCTGTGTGTGTGTGTGTGTGTGTGTGTGTGTGTGTGTGTGTGTGTGTGTGTGTGTGTGTGTGTGTGTGTGTGTGTGTGTGTTTACAGGATCCAGGTAAATGATCTGATCGTGGAGGTTGATGGGGCCAGTCTGGTGGGTGTCACCCAGAGCTTTGCTGCATCTGTTCTCCGCAACACATCAGGCCAAGTCAAGTCAGTCCCACGTGCACACACACACACACACACACACACACTAGACGGCAGTGATTTGAATGTGCCTGTGGATGATTTTCAGATTTGTGATTGGTCGGGAAAAGCCTGGAGAGCAGAGCGAAGTGGCTCAGCTGATCCAGCAGACTCTGGAGCAGGAGAGATGGCAGAGAGAGATGATGGAGCAGAGTTACAAACAGTACATGGATGACGATGAGGAGGTGCTACACACACACACACACACACACACACACACACACACACACACCACACACACACACACACCACACACTCACTCCACATTCCTGAACATTTAGCTTACAAAAATATTTAGTCTCATGGCCCTTCTGAAGTGGCTTTTCTGGTCTGAGAGCCTTTCTACCTGTTTAACAGCTCATGATGGGTGTGTGTGGGTGTGTGTGCGTGTGTGCGTGTGTGTGTCCAACACAAAATCCTCTGCTAACTAAACTGCTGCTCTGAACTCCATGTAGCGCCACCTTGTGGCCAGAATCAGGAACATCAGTTTCCCTCGAGGAAAGTCAGGTTTGTGTGGCTGGGCTCGGAGCCGACGAGTCACCTGTGCAGGTGTCTACAACTCCAGAGAACCTCAGCAGTAAACCGACTCGTCCAAAGCAGTTGTGTGGATTTGTGAAGGACGCCCTGACGCTGCTGCTGGCGTTAGCCGGCCACCCCCTGGGCCGTGGCAGGAGGAACACAGAAATGTCTTTGGTTGATTCTTTTTGTTAGCTTAGCATAGTTAGCTAATGATCCCGCCTAAACAGCTTTGGGACTTGAGCTGCTTAGCTTCATAAACGCGGTGCGTCGCTGAACCTTTAACCAGATTTCTGTGTTTCTGACAGACGGGTGAATACGCGACAGACGAGGACGAGGAGATGAGTCCGGTGTTTCCAAACGCTATCGAGGTGTTCGACCTGGCAGAGAGCCAGGACATGTCTCCTGTGGAGCTGGACCCCGAGAAGCTGGCCCACAAATTCAAGGAGGTGGGCTAGCTTCTGCTGATTTGCTTGCTAGTTTTCTGTTTGAGTTCCTGTGAAGTGAAGCCTCTGGTGTTCTGCAGCTCCAGATCAAACACGCCGTGACCCAGGCTGAGATCCAGCTGCTGAAGAGGAAGGTGAGCTCGCTTTGGTTTTCTACTCGCAGACATGAAAATGAGTAGCGTAACATCAGTTCTCTGGCTGTTCCCACCTCCTCCCTCCCACGATGGCGCCCTCGCCTCCAGCTGGCTCATGCGGAGCAGGATAAGCTGCGTTGGCGGATGGAGCGTGCGCAGTTGGAGCAGAGCATCAGAGACAGCAAAGAGAGGATGGAGAAGCTGGAGGGCTACTGGATGGAGGCACAGTCCCTGTGTAAGGTAAAGAGCGGAGGCCGCCGCCACCGGAGGGGCGGGTTGTGTCCCAGATGTTTGACGGATTCTCTCCTCCAGGCGGTGGACGAACACCTGAAGGAGACGCAGGCCCAGTACCAGACTCTGGAGAGGAAGTACAGCAAAGCCAAGAGGATGATTAAAGAATACCAGCAGAAGTGAGCATCACTGAGCTGCTGAGGGTTCTTCAGCCACTTTCACATGTTTCTCATCACTTCCTGAAAAGCCTCTGTTTGGAGAAATAGAGCTTACATCCCTAGGAATGATAAGCTAATGGCTAGTATGTGGCCACAAGCATGAATATCGCCCAGGGGTGGAGTCACACAGGAGTTTATGATGTCATCCACGAACCAACCAGAGTGGAAATGTTTGCGTTACGTTTAGAAGATGGAGGCTGGCTCCATCAGACCAGTGGGCTTTAGCTGGGTGAGGTGGTCCAAATGAAGACGAAGCAAGCAGAGGCTGGAACCACAGAGTTAGCGTCTAACGGCGATGCTTCAGCAGGCAGTGGTCCCGACTAGCCGTTAGCTCATCGGTCCGGGGGGGGGGGGGGGGGGTAGTACTTATCCATGTCTTTGATCCAGAAGCATGCTTTAAAAATGGCCGACATCCTTTTGTAGTTAAAACTGAAACGTGTGTTTTAGGGAAATCGAGTTCCTGAAGAAGGAGACGGCTCACCGTCGCACGCAGGAGGAGAAGACGGCGACGCACAAGGAGGAGACGGGCAACCTGCAGGATAAGGTAGAGACACTCCTCTTCATCACGCCCGTCCACCGGGGGACAGGCTGTCCCTCTTCATCACACCCATCCACCGGGGGGACAGGCTGTCCCTCTTCATCAGACCGGTCCACCAGGAGGACAGGCTGTCCCTCTTCCTCACACCCATCCACCAGGGGGACAGGCTGTCCCTCTTCATCACACCCATCCACCGGGGGGACAGGCTGTCCCTCTTCATCAGACCGGTCCACCAGGAGGACAGGCTGTCCCTCTTCCTCACACCCATCCACCAGGGGGACAGGCTGTCCCTCTTCCTCACACCCATCCACCAGGGGGACAGGCTGTCCCTCTTCATCAGACCGGTCCACCAGGAGGACAGGCTGTCCTTCTTCCTCACACTCGTCCACTATGTGGACACAGGTGTCCGTCTTCATCACACCTGCCCATTAAATGGCCTGTATTTGATATAGCGCCTTCTAGAGTCCTGGAACCCCCCAAGGCGCTTTACAACACAATCAGTCATTCACCCATTCACACACACATTCACACACTGGTGGTGATGAGCTACGATGTAGCCACAGCTGCCCTGGGGCGCGCTGACAGAGGCGAGGCTGCCGAGCACTGGCGCCACCGGTCCCTCCGACCACCACCAGCAGGCAAGGTGGGTTAAGTGTCTTGCCCAAGGACACAACGACAGCAACAGACTGAGCGGGGCTCGAACCTGCAACCTTCCGATTACGGGGCGAGCGCTGTGCCACCGTCGCCCACAAACCCGATGAATAAAAATGACTAATTTGACTAAAATAATCTGTTTTTTTCTCCAGATTACCGACCTGGAGTTCAAAGTGGATGCCTTGAAGAGCCCCTCCCCTTCATAGACCGCTGCTACGTCCTACCTCCCGTCTGAAACTGGAACAGGAGCTGCTCCGCCTCCTCCAAGCTCATCATCTCCTCATGCAACCATCACTGCACACCCAGGTAGCTGAGCGAGACGATGGAAGAAGATTTTTGGTCTTTCAGGGGAAACAAGAAAGAAGCTACTTCTCATCTGTTGTTGTCCACTGGTAGAACAGTCCCTGAATGCACCACCTGGAACATCCCAAATCCTACCTGTGTGTCTTCCTGTCAACCAGCTTGGCAATCAACCAGACCCCGCCCCCAACCCACCCACCCACACACACACACCACAGACAGTCTCTTATCAGGTTCTCTTCACGATTAAGACTTGAAGCACTTTTAAAACCCACACAAAGTGCTTTACAGAGCGACGTGAGCGTGACCGAGGATCCAAAAGGACGCATGATTGTTGCATTAGACCTTTTGTTTCCTCCTTCCTGGAAGTCGGGGCGAGACGTTTGACTCAACAGCTACAGGGATGAGCGTCGCGCTCGTGTGGCTAACAAACCTACAGAGGACAGAACAAGGCCAACTAACAACCGAAGTGACAGATTCATCACCAAAGCTGTGAAAGCGGCTGAAGATCTGGACGAATGCCGTGGAGGTGTTATGTTTGAGGTCTGAACTGGGAGGTGGTCCCGTTTGTACATACTGTCTTTAGTTTATTTAAAAGCTTTTGAACAGCTGGCTGGGCGTGGTGCTGAAGATCGCTCCAGCTGTTGCTCTTTTCTATCCGACATCAGTGGCAAACAGGGTGTGACCTGTGGGTTTACATGCACACCGACCTCCACCTCTTTGTTTATGTCGTTCACGTTTATCTAATGCAGGTTGCAGTCGTGTACAAACGATGCGTTTATGTTCTCAACTGAGAACAATAAATAATTTCCTTCATTTAGAGATCCGTCGTTTTAAAATGTTTGGCTCCCCATCATGATGTGGACGAGAGACAACCACATCATCGACATATTGAGTAAAGGGAACGGAATGTGGGCAAGCACACAAAACGCCCCCTGGTGGCTGGCTGTAGGACAGGTTTTAGGACATTTACATTAGTTTTAATTCTGGTGGTTTTTAACATTTCGGCTGAACGTTCCGGTGTCACACTTTATTAGATGCTCAAAAACACCACACCTGTGTCCAGATGAGTAGGCGGGACTTTCACTAACCTGTAATCTGGATGTTCTGGCTTCACTGCTGAACTGGTAATGTTGGATAAGATATACAAAAATCTAATTACAATTCTGTGGATGAAGACGGTTTCTATTGAATCTTTAAAAAGTTGTAGGATCAAAAATGTGTTTCCTCTAACATGTTGGTGTTAACTCGTAGCGCACCTGTACCTGCCAACGAAAACAGCCTTATCACAGGAATCACTAGGCTAAGCCAGACTAAATAAATGTATTAAACTTAGCAAAGCAAGAATTTGGTCTAGTTCATTAGGCTAAGGAATCACAGGAATGTGGCAACAACTCAGCCAGAAGTAGCTGAGTCGTACTTTAGAGAGGATACGTGAAAACGAGGTTATTTTGGGTGACAGTATTATAAAAGTATTAAAGGATCAAACAAAAACCAACTTTTTAAAAAGTTCTTATTTATTTTTTATCAGAATATTTTGTAACAAGCTGTACTAAAAAGCACTTGATTGTATTTTTCATTTGAATTAACTGAAAATGTCCTTAATAACATTTAAATCCCTCGTGATTAGCCGTTAGCCTGAAGCTAGCTCTGGGACACGCTAGCTAGCAACACATGCTAAATTCACATTTTGACCTGCAACAGTAAAGTCAAAAATGAGCCTTTAGCAGCTTATCTTTACATTTCAGTCAGTGTTATCCCGTTAGCTAGCAAAACCTTTGAATGCTTGTATTTTTCATTTGAATTAACTGAAAATGTCCTTAATAACGTTTAAATCCTTTGTGATTAGCCGTTAGCCTGAAGCTAGCTCTGGGACACGCTAGCTAGCAAAACGGGCTAAATCCACCTTTTGACCTGCAACAGTAAAGTCAAAAATGAGCCTTTAGCAGCTTATCTTTACATTTCAGTCAGTGTTATCCCGTTAGCTAGCAAAACCTTTGAATGCTAACGACATGGAGAGTTGTGATCATGGTTGTGATACATGAGCGCTTGTTACAGGGTCATGTGTTGTTTTTGTTTACTTGTGTGCACGTAAACACAGTAGAGGGTCCCTGGGCCAGTCGTAAACAGCACGAGCTTAAGTTAGCGATCTTCACCTGAAATTGAATCAGATAGAAAAGTGCTGCCTTAACCGTTAGCTCTGGTCTTTCACCATTTCGTTGCTTTAGGTGGGAGATCTCCAGATTCATGCAGTAGTTGTGTTTAGGCGTGTTTGAAATGTGATCGCCACTCCGCTGTCCCCCGACAGCGTTGATCTGATGTATTTACCTGCTCTGGTGGTGGTGCGAGGGTTTAAAAGGTGCTGTTCATGTGTTCATGTGTTCATCAGGACGGCGCAGCTTGCTGGCGAGCTCAGAATCAGTCGCAGTTCAATTGTTTTCTAGCTTCTTTGAATTCATTAATGAGACCGTTTTTCATGTTGACTTCTGGTTTTAAGAATTCAAACTTTTTTTTAAATATTTTACACCAAAAATTTATTTAACAAGTAATGAATTATTTTTACTTTACGAACTTTATGTTGCACCAAGTGAAACGTATGAGCTACGGAAGTCGAAACGGGACACGTTTTTTATTATTAAGTGATTTGGGGGTAAATGACAAACACCATTATGAAGAGATAACTCGTTATCTTGAGAGCGTGTCGTGAAAAACCATTTTTAAGCATGTCTCTGATTCTTTCGCTGCATTTTGTCTGACGTTACTCCAAACTGAGCTATGATCTGATCTCACGTTGAGGACTTTCTGCATTTAGATATTTTAAATGGTTTTTGGAGCAAAGGAACCAGCTGGGGAAATGACATTCACTGTTTGATTAAATCTTTTTGTCTGTACAGGGCAGACTGCACACCACAGTGGTTTAAATACTGGTTTTACCGGACGGGATCAGACGTGTTACTGTTTGTTTTTCTAACAGAGCGATAAACAGCCATAAGCAACTCTCCTGAGTACTTTAATTCCTTGAGTATTTTTCTTACAGTGTCATCTCTATTTTGAAATAATGTGAGCTGCACAAAAGCCGTGGTATCACCAGATCCGACCGTCATCACCAAGGGTCTGAACCCTGGGTTTGCCTTTTTAATGACATACTAGCTAAAACATGCTGCTTTTGCCTCCACGAAGCCTTCACGTGATGTAACTAGCGCTGTTTTATCGTCTGACCTTTGCTCATGTCTGCATTAATAAAGTCAAATAAAGGAGGATGCTGTTGCCTGGCCTGTCTGACGGATGTTGAACCCTAAGTAAACAGACGGAAGACGCTGATGATGCTTCTGGCTGATTCTAGTCCTACACATTTAGTTTGGGCTACTGATACGATGGGGGACAGCTGATTGCTCATTAGAAGAATGATAAATGACCCGCACTTGTAGAGCACCTCTCAGAGTAAGGACTCCAAAGCGCTTTACACTACAGTATCATTCATCCATTCACACACACATTCACACGCTGGTGGGGATGAGCTACAATGTAGCCACACCTGCCCTGGGGTGCACTGACAGAGGCGAGAAGAAGAAGAAAGTATCATTTCTATAGCGCCTCTCAAGATAGGAATCACGAGGTGTTTCACAAAAACAAAAAATATAAAAAAGAATTTAGAAAATGGTTGAAACATATTTAAAATGAACAACAAGTAGATAATTGTGATTAGAAAAATGTAAAGAAAGAGAGAGAGTGAACAGGAAAGAGGGAAACCAGTGGATCCTGAGGAAGGTGGAATAGGTGGGGAGAGCAGAATAAAGAGAGAGAGGTGAAGAAGGTCATACAAAAGCCAGCTTGAACAAGTGAGTCTTCAGCTGCTTTTTAAAGGAGACCACTGAGTCCACTGATCTCAGGCTCAGGGGGAGAGAGGTCCAGAGTCTGGGGGCCACAGCAGCAGATGATCTGTCACCTTTGACCTTTAGCCTGGTGCTGCACAACCAGTAGGCTTTGATCACTGGACCTCAGGGACCTGCTGGGGGTGTAGGGACTAAGAAGCTCACCAGTGTAAGATGGTGCTTGTCCATGTAAGGTCCTATAGACCAGAACCAGGATCTCGAAATGAACCCTGAAGTTGACTGGCAGCCAGTGAAGCTGGAGGAGAAGCGGGGTGATGTGGGTGTGTTTGGAGGACTTGGTCAAAAGCCGAGCACAGGCGTTCTGAACCACCTGTAGACGGTTCAGGGAGGTTCTGCTCAGACACGTGAAAAGAGAGTTACAGTAGTCTAAGCGTGAGGAGATGAAGGAGTGGAGAACTGTCTCAAGTTCAGAGCGGGACAGAATGGGACTCAGCTTAGCAACGTTCCTGAGATGGAAGAAGGAAGAGCGAACAAGAGAACTGACATGAGAATCCAGGGTGAGAGCTGGGTCAAAGGTCACACCAAGATTCCTGATGGAAGGTTTGGTGTGAGAAGCAAGCTGACCAACCATCCAGGTTTTGATAGAGTCTAAGCAGGTGTGTAACAGCTGCAGCTTAGACATCTCATGGGGCTTAAAGGAGATGTACAGTTGGATGTCATCTGCATAAAGATGGTAGGAGATTCCTTTGAAGGAGCTCAGGATGTGCTGAAGAGGAAGCAGATAGAGGAGGAAGAGCAGAGGCCCCAGCACAGAACCTTGTGGGACACCATGGGTAAGGGAGGTGGTAGAGGACCTGAACTTGGAGACGGCCACAGAAAAGGAGATCTCAGAGAGATAAGAGGAGAACCACTCCAGAGCAGTTCCTGATAGGCCTACCCAGTCTCTCAGCCTCTCCAGTAGCAGGTGATGGTCAACAGTGTCAAAGGCTGCAGTCAGGTCCAGCAGGACCAGAACAGAACAGTCCCCTGCATCACTGTGAGTCAGAAGGTCATTAGAGACCCTAAGAAGAGCTGTTTCAGTAGAATGAGCTCTACAAAAACCTGACTGGAAGCTATCATAGATGTTATGTTCTTCAAGAGCAGCTGTGAGTTGTTTAGCCACAACCTTTTCCAAGATCTTGGAGATGAACGGAAGTTTAGAGATGGGTCTGAAGCTGCTATGGAGAGAGGGGTCCAGACTCGGTTTTGTAAGAACCAGAAACCAGAGAAGCATTAATTATAGAGAGCACGCTGGGACCGATGGACAGAAAAGCACTTTTAAACAACGATGAGGGTAAGATGTGGAGGGGGCATGCAGAGGTCTTCATAGAGTTAACTAGTTTGGTTAACTCAGCCAAAGAAACCGAGTTATCCGTGTTGTTTTTACAGGATCCAGAATAAGTTTGGAAGCATAAATTCTGATGATCTGAACCATAGTTTGTAAACTTGTTTATATACTCATTTATCACGTGTATTTTCTAGTTCTGTTAGTTCCTTAATGACCAGAATCTGTGCCTGCTCCGGAGACACATTCAGTTTAATGAGTACCTTACAGTTTGAAGTCCATGTTGACTGTATTTTCTTTTGCTTCTCAGAAGCCTCGCTTGCCTTGCAGTGTCTGCATTTTGTTCATTTACATAGACATCGGTTCCCTTCAGCTTCCTTCAGCTTCCTTCCTCGTTTAAGCAGTCCTTTCTTGTGTTTTCTGTTCATAAATCTGATGATTGCAGGTTTCTGGTTTTTATTTTTACGTGGAAGAGGATGACATCCCTCTATGTCCTTGGCCTCTAGATGTATCCCTTTGCTACCAAGGAAGTCCATCACCTGCCTTTCTAAGTAGTTTAATTCTGGTTCAGGTGGTTCTCCACTCTCTGTAGCTGTTGCTCTTGCATAAGTTTGGTGTGTGGTTTCACGTCCTGTCACTATTACATCATTTATTCTTGAATATTGTTCCAGTTCTGACACTCTTTCTTCCAGTAAGGTGATTTTCCTTTTCCTCGTTTTTCTTCTCAGGACTTTAACCTCCTCCACTAATTCCATTTATTGATTTGTAACAAGCGGTTGCAAACCTCTCCCTTTATAAACGTTGTTTCACACGTTTACCTCTTAGCGTGTTGCCAGCGATGTGCTCGTCAGTTGGCTGGAGGCAGCGGTCCCAGGGATTTTTCACCCTTTCACACCATACCACTTTATTTATATAGCACATTTAAAATACAGAGAGAGAGCTGACCAAAGTGCTTTACAGGCAGGTTCATTAAAAACAAAATAACCAATGAAAGTAAAACCATGAATGCAACGCAATACAAGCAGCAAAAACCATAAGAACAATAAACAAGCTGCTGGATAAAGGCCAAAGCCATTAAAGTAGGTTTTTAAAAACAGCCAGAGAGGATGCATGCCTCACTGAACTGGGAAGTGAATGTGGCAGCATAGTCAAACGCTCGTTCACCCCAGGATTTGTAGGACGTCTGGGGAGTGCAAAGTAGCAGGAGATCAGCTGACCTCAGCGTGCGTACATGGGGGCGAGCAGGTCGGATAGATAAGGAGGTACTAAGTCATGTAAGGCTTTAAACACAAAAATCAATAACTTAAACCGCACATGAACGGTAATGGGGAGCCAATGGAGATGTGTCAGGACTGGGGTGAAATGATGACCAGTGGCGGCTCGTCCATAGGGGGCACTAGGGCGCCACCCCACCTGTCTCACAGGAAGAAGAAGAAGAATATGGGAATCACAAACGTCAAACGGACTATAGGTGCTGTGTATAATCTGCATTTAAACAGACAATTAGCAACTTTATTATATTTTTAAATCATTTTCTTGAGCCAGTATGAACTAAAATGCCCTTTATAGTGTTAATGAAAGGCCATCCAGCCCTTCCCACCCCTGTGGCCAGACTATCGCACTTGCAACTTCACAGTTTCTGATCGGGTCTGCTGGGACTTTGGGAAAATTGAGCTGAGTTACCTGACGCCGCTGTCTGGCTTCAGCACGTTTCCTGCATGTTTTAGATCATCAACCCAGCTGATTTGTTTAATTTAGTGATGAATTGCTCCTGTAGACACTTAGGAACACTGGGAGACATTTCAGCTGTTAGATTAAGGTGTTAAAAAGACAAAGGCACAGCGAGGAGATAGTTTTCCTTCTACAAACGGACACTAGGGGGTGCTGAAAGCATGAAAAACAGCTTAACATCCCTTTAAGTGTAGTTTAAAACATTTTATTTACACTTTTAACACTACCAAATCGTCTTGGGATGTATTTCCTGCTACTTTTGGGCGCAGCGATCTCCACATAGGCCCAATCCCAATACTCGCACTTGCACCCTTCGATTGTGCGATCCCGACCAGCGGTGCGAGTGCGTAGTGTCCCAATTCTCAAGTGCGGAGGTTGGTTACGCATTGCGATTGATGACGCAACTCAATTCGGCAATTCGGTGGCTCTGTTGGGTTGCACTCCTTTCCACTGGACTTAAAAATTAGGCGCCAGTGATTGCACACAATCGGTGTACTGGAAAACTGTCAGCTACCGCTTGGTGCTGTAGTTTGCAACTCACCTTCGCCAACATGATGGAGTTATTCTGCACGTCTCCGTTTGAAGAGGGAGGCCGTGCCCACCGTGGCTCTTCCACGATTTAGATGCAGCCCACCAACTCTGCTCCCCCACCATGGCGGGCTCCAGTCTGAGGTGAGTAAGCTAAATAAGTTTTAACATCTTCTAAAGACAATTAAATACCTAAATGCAAAGTTTCAAAGACGTGGTTCACTTCTGCACTGCCTTCGGGCAGATTTGTCAAGTTCACAAAATGTGGAACGGGATGTAAGGTTAGAATCAGCGGCGAATCGGAACATATCTCGAAGCCCTGGCTGACGAAACGGTCCACATGACTATTACTGTCAGGCTCGGAGAAAATTCGGGTTGTTTTTGTGTCAGTCGGTAATTCTGCAACAGTGGCTCTAACTAACGCAGCACTAGTTGACAGACATCATTACAGTGTGACCCGGTTCTGTGAGGAATTCTGTTCAGGAGGTCGCATTTCAGGCTCTCCACATCATGTGTGACTGACTTTTACGTTATAATAACGATCACACACTAGGAATGTTATAAAGCGCCTATATAGGACAGTGTCTTTTGTATATTATCTGACTTTATAAACTCCAACATCAATGTGCTTCTATTTTTTTCAGGCTAAGTCTGCCCAAGACACTGGCTGTCAGACTGATTTAGTACTCTGCAAGAATGCACTTGTCCAGGCTGACGTGAAGCCTTACCCGTAGCAAAGGTGAATTATTTTTAATAATCTTCTATGTAAACATTTTATTATTACCTTCTAGTTTTAATTTGTTTTACAGATTATTGTTACACGTGAGTTTATGCTCTTTTAAACATTTATAAATGT